TAAAACGTAAAAACGTAAAAAGTAAAAACGGTAAAAAGTAAAAGTAAAAGTAAAAGTAAAAGTAAAGTAAACGTAAAGTAAACTAATAACTACTACTACTACTACTCTCTCTCTCTCTCTCTCTCTCTCTCTCTCTCTCTCTCTCTCTCTCTCTCTCTCTCTCTCTCTCTCTCCGGCTCTTCCCCCCTAAACATTCACTCTCTCTCACTCCCTTCTTTCTCTAATCTCTTTTTTTTTTTGATAATGTTAACCTTTAATAGATGCAGAAGAGTAGAACAAAAGGCCTTGGCGATCCATAGAGTAGGATGCTCAAGGGGAAACGATCCAAAAAAGCAGAATCTAATCATTTTTTAGGAGGTTACAATGAGGCATAGCAACCTAGTAAAATAGGTCGATCCGAAGAGTGAGAAAAAGAGACAGTCCAAAACCCAAAACCCCAAAAAATCATCAGTTTTCCGCCATCGCTACAGCTATTTGGGCGAGTGTACCAGCTTCCTAGTGTCCTTCCCTCCATGTATGCATCCACGCGATGGACGTATTCCTGCAAAGGTGATCAATCTCATCAAACAAGTGAGCTAGGAACCGAAGGGGGGGGGGGGGGGGGAGCAGGTAAGTCTTTGGGCCCAAGAAATGGTATTCTTGGAATCACCCTCCACCACTATCGATAGCAAGTGGAGGGGTTCAATGAGCTTAAGGCCTTCCAACAGTGCTAAAGCTTTGGCCTCCACATAATTGGCATGGCCAATGTGTTTGGAGATGATAGCTATTGTAGAGCCGAGGTGATCTCTAAGGATGGCTCCAACTCCTGATGGGCCAAGGCTCCCGATAAAGCCTCCGTCGAAATTCAGTTTAAGCTGTCCCGTGGGCAGGGGTTTCCACCTAGTTGTCCTGGGTAGACACATTCGATGGACTTGGAGGATGTTGCACCAATCTTGGCTGAACATCGAAGTTGGAACTCCTTTGAAATGGTGGTGGTTTGATGCCCAAAAAATGATGGTGGATTTGAGCTTGTCAAAAACTCTGGTCCAAGAGGAGTACTCCCCCGGAACGTTCTGTTATTGCGCTCGATCCATAGGGCCCACAATGAGGCAGCCACCGTGGATTTCCAAAGAAGTATTCCCGCCTTAGGTCATGGAAATGGTTTGATGGCTGAAATTATGGATGTTACCTCTTCCGGTAACACCCACTATACATTGAAAAGTTTAAGGATTGCCCCCCATAGATTGAAAGCATAGGGGCAGTGTAAGAGTGGACGATTGTTGGCTTCCCCTGCTGCGAGGCACATTACACATCTGTTAGGGATTGGGACAGCCCTCCTCTGCATTTGATCTACTGTGAGGACTCTCTGAGAGAGGGCCAGCCACGTGAAGATCTTGATTTTCGGTGGGGCGAAAGAGTCCAGGCCTGAGCCGCTATAGAAGCAGGCGCTAAGGGGAAAGTAGGTGGTAGGGACAGACTCCGGAAGAAAGAGGAGACTGTCAAAATTCTAGAGGGTGCTGGTGCCCAAATGATGCGATCAAGAACTGAGGGTGCTAAGAAGCAATTTTGAAGTTCTGCTGCCAAGATTGAAAAACTTTGGATCTCCTGGTCATTAAGGGCCCTCCTGACTCTCTAATCTCTTTCTAACAGCCCTTTTCTCTCTTCCCCTCCCCTATCTTCTCTTCACCCCTCCTCTGTGCAATCCATCCTTCTTCTATCCCACTTTCCTCCTATCCCTTAACATCTTTCGCCACTTTCACTCCTTTAACCTTCCTTCTTCTTCATCTACCTTCATCTCACCCCTCCTTTTCAATTGTCTCCACACTCCCTCTTCCTTGTGCTGCTGCATCATCTCGGACTGATGAAGACCTACCTTACCGTGGCGACGGCACCAAACAGTGCGCCTATTCAAGTTGTAGCTCTTTTCCTTTTCTTTCTCGAGCCACCACCGATTGTTCTACGTTCTCATGCTCTCGTCTTTCGCTGCCCTCTATTTCTATATTTTCTTCTCTCCCTCCAACTGTTTATATTATAGTCTGAGCACCGAACTTCTGGGATACCTTCTTCTGAACCTTTTTTGATGTAATACACTATACTATTAATACAAAGCTAACCATTTCCTCCAAAAAATAAAAATAAAAAGTAAAAAATAAATAAAACCTTTATCATTGATGAGATCACTTGGAGATAGGGAAAAAAGAGAAATTTTTTCAAGTAGGCAGGACAGAGATCGACATTTTTTTTGAGAAAGTGAAGCCGAGAAAGGGAAGGCCATTTATCATGAGGGAACTAATTTTCCTTTACACCACAGATCAAAGAAGAAACAAAGTAGAGTGTTTGAAAGGTAAAAAACAATGTTTAGGAATTTAAGAATAATGGTATGAAAGTAACATGCTTGATGGAGCAATGTCAAATGTAGCTGCACAATTCCACAGGTATGCCCGCATTTATCTCCTTTTACCAAATGCCGATGCAATTATTCATCAACTACTTTATCAATGGTTAAAAATTGTACAAGGACTCAGAATTTCAACATTGAACAAGGACTCAGAAAAAGTTTTGTCTAACAATTCACGGGCTTAAAAATTGATTTATAAGATACAAGGTAATAGTTACATTATAATATACGATTAGCGTAGAATACACTTGGATAAATGGTAAAGTTTCATTTTTTTTTCTTTTTCTTTTTCTTTGGGATAGTAGAAAAATATAAGAAGGTGGGGCAGCCCACTTGAATTTCTTCTATTTCCACTGAATTTTTGGCATTTAGACATTCCATGAGATGTAATTCCTAGGTGAAGAAGAAACCTAATTTCCTAAATCAACCACACCTTGATGTAATAAATTTGCCATACTTGAAGCACCCACAAATTCCAAAACACAAAACCCAGAGAGAGAACAAACTGATAGCACATTAGTGTTGGAATACCATGTCAATAGGAAATACACATATTTTAGTGAGAGAAACGAAGACATAAGTGGAAAGAATGCACACCCAGGAAGAGGACGGGATCTCTGGAGAGGAGGTCAGCAAGAAGCGCCTTCTTCTCTTGGGGTTCCACAGGAGCTTCAGTCCTGAGAATGGCACGAGGGAGATAGAGGTCCTGAACCAATGAAAGCCTCTCGCATATGGCTTCGTTCCCCAATCCATCGATCCCTTTCATCTCTCTTCTTTCTCTCTCCTCTCTCTTCTACGAGTTGTATTTTGGAGAATTAGGGGTTTCTCCTCTCGCTTCTTCAAGCTCAGGGCCTTTTCTATTCTCTCTCCACAAGCTCTGGCTCTCTTGTGACTCTCTCACAGTTAAATTTTGCAGAAGTTCGTCGAAATTGCAGAGGTGGCCTGGGGATTTTATGGTAAATACTATCCTCTGCTCGCGCGGGATCACACTGTACATTAATCTCTTACGCAAAAGGCCCTAATATTTAATTTCGAATCACTTTGGAAATAACATATATTTATCTTTGTCAGTTTTGAGTTTTTAAGCTTTCAGATCTATTAGATTTCTAGAACTCACATTAGAGATCGTCAGACTTACATGCCCCCCACTAAATCAATACCATGTTTTATAATGTTGGATCACTAGATTGACGATCCGGATAGAGTTTATATCGATGATTTAGAAAATATTAAAAAATAAAATAAAATAAAGATTCATAAGGTGTGGGATATATCATGGACCACAAAAAATATTAAATAAGCTTAATATATATATATATATATAGAGATGGGAAAAATATATATAAAGTTGCAACTTTAAAATGTAGAATTACATATACATCTCAAAAATCTATCGGAAAAGGTTGTTTTAATGTTGAAAGATTCTCTAATTGATCACCTCGATATTGAGATGTATGAATATATAAAAAAAATATTTTAAGTCGTAAAAGTAGTACATCTTGCAACACATTATCTAGATCGTCTATTTTTAAGATTTTCATATATTTATAGATCTATATGATTTTAACCATTTTTTGAGTTTCAAATTTTAAAATTAGATATGAAAATACATTTTTATATAATCCTAATATTTTTTTACACTAAAATTACATGTTACAATAAAATTTGGAGGTGCGCCTTAATTGGATTGTTTAAGGTTGCAATCTTATTGAAACCGCACCATATAT